ACTGTGAAAGCATTATTTTCCATTTGGAAAAACATCACCCACTTTAGGTCTCAAAATATCTTATGAACATTGATCAGCAATTATTTACAAGACCTGAACAACGTACTACAGTATTAAGACCATTCTGTCTTTTGGTAAACTGAGGCCCAATCCAAACACACAACTTCCCTAAGTTCCCACAAGAACAATTAGGAGTTTAATGCAGACCCCCTAATCCTGGTCTTCTATGTTAAACACGTGAGCAAGAAAAATCTTTAGTTATTTGCTAGTGATATGAAATATTTTCCAATGTGTTACCATCTTTTTGCATGCAATATCAGGTAATATAGGCATGCAGCCTCACTGTTTTTTTCCAAGTCATAAATGATGAAAGGGTAAAACCCATACAAAAATTAGGAAAATATACTTAGCAGCCAACATAAGCAACACATAGGAAGTGCTGTAGGCAATTGGGTTTAGAAGTATAAACATCACATTAGTAGACCCATGAGATAGCACAATGTAGCCACACCTGGAGAGTCACTCTCCTACTCCCCTCCCAACCCACTAATGAAAATAAGTCTGAAGCCAAAATGTGAAGATTCAACTGTACAACATCATTTTTGGTCTCAAAGGCTAACTACATCAAACAGACATAAAATAAGCTGGATTCACTTCAGCCAAAATATGTTTCCACTTGAAACAAGATCGAATTCTGGCTAGAAGACCTCAGGTTTTACTAGATGCTGTAAATCTATTCAGCAGCTGTGGGTGGCACCAGTTTCACAATAAACTGGACTATGGAATAAGTAGGAAAAGTCCTAGGTAAAATAACTGAAAGCTGAACAATAAAAAAATCATCAATCATTTATAGTTGTTTCCTGTAGGAAACATATGCCCTTATTATCTGAACATCACAGTGAAATACTCGCGTTAGTATCTGGTTCACATAACATCAAGCATTTTCATTAGCTAATTATCTTCAGAAAACTACAACAATCCTTTTACCAAGAAAACTGGTTAAATAGCAACCAGTCAAACTCAAAAACAAAACCACAGAAAATGCTCTAATATTGGACTGTAGAACAAAGGTAAATATCTACATCTCTATCTGCCAGTATGCAGAGGTCTCCAGCAGCTGTTCTATCTCACAGTTGGTAAATTTACCCCATAGTAATGCAGGCAGTGGAAACTCACCTGAGGGTGCTCCACCCAAGTTATAATGCCATTCACTTGAACATAGGAAAGGCAGACTGTGGTGGTCCATTTGTGGCCTGTATTAACCTGAATGCCATACAAACTTTGCTGCAACAAAGCGGCCCGCTACAGTAGTCGCATCTAATTGAAACTAGGTAAAGTTGGGTGTTTGATCCTAATGCGGCTCTAGCTTACTGACCATCAAAGTAGCTTCTAGTAAGAACGCTGCAGTTCATGACTCAATCACTCAAGGGTTTGCAAAATACAAAAAATATTTTCCAGTCACAATCCTGCAAATATCATTGACTGTGCAGAACTCCCTCATGGGACTACTACTGGCACATAACCTAGGCTGATCTGAGGAACAAAGTCCTTCCTCTGCATCTGAGCCATCCTCTGCTCATCTCTACCCCCTTGCTATACATTCCCACTCCTTTTGCTCTTCCAGAATAACTTCACATGTCATCAGTCCTTAACTTGGACTAACCAGAATGATCTACAGTAAACCTATTATTGAAAGGTTTCTAGGTTAATACAGGTCATTTTGACAGAACCAGAGCAGAGAGCAACTACATTTGAAATCATGCGTGCATACTTAGGGGAAAAGGAGGGAAGTGGCAGAGGCCAAGCAGAAGGGCAGGCTTGGACAGTAATACCTTAATCTGGCTCAGTTGCATTTCATCTGATTATAGCCTCAGTAGCCCTGATACTAGAAGGTGGAGCTTCTATGAAGGCTTCCAATTGCAGTTCTGTCTCACTAGAATAACAATCCTGAGCTTGGGCTGAATAAATCATGGGAAAAAAGAGAACCTGAAATACCCTGCAGTTGTGAAAGCCATGCATATTATACATATGGCTCCCAAAAGGGAAAAAAAAACAAACCAAAGACAAGCATATAACTCAAGTTCAGCAGAAAACTCTGTCTGTTTGGCAGCTGTGCCAAGTTTAGAAGAAATAATGCATGATTTCAAAATACTACTTTTTAATGCAATTCCTCACACAAAAATTCTTCATGATGGCTTTCAGTGCATGTGGAAAAAAAAAATGTTGTCAACATAAATAATGCCAGAGAACTGAAATTTCCCCCCAAACAGGATCATCAACATGTCAGTGCAGCTTTCTGAACTGTTAGGAGAAAGTTATGGATTAACTTTAGAATGGGCAGTCTATCTAAATCTGCTCACATCCTCCAACAGGGATGTAAAATTCACACAGATTCCAAACACCCAGTTATCCCACTGAGTTTTTTGGTTTGCTGCCAGTAGCCCAAGTTCCTACTCCGCACTTCTTATTTTCTAAAATTCTTCGAACATCTTACCAATAAACATGTGCTACGTTCCTGCTCCCTAAGCAGTACCCATGACATGGAAAACCTTCAAAAAGAGTCAGATGCAGTTTGGATAAGATAAGGACACGCTGTGAGGGATCCCTGATAGGGCTGCAGTAACTTGTACGCTCCACAGTCTTCAGTCCCCTCTAGATGGAGTGCACTAGCTGCTCTAAGGAGTGGTGTATACAATCCATGACTCTCTGCTCAGTCCTTTGACCGTACTATGCTTTTATTTCTTTGATTTTTCCTCTGAAGGAGCTTCAGATTTGTGAAAGGGAGGGATCATTATCAGGCTTTTCTTCAGAAGATACTTATCAATAAACCTTTCTGCTTTACCTTGTCCTGACTTGGCCTCAGACAGGCAGTTTTATATCATTGGAACAAACAGACCTCGCAATTTATGTGGATTAAAACAAGAACCTACTCACTAAGAGTAAATATTGACCTCTGAGCCACTACTGGCTTCACTTTGTGAAAATTATAAGGCTGAGCTTCTGAAGGATTCATTCCAAATCTGCGTATTGCAGGAGAGACAGAAAAGACCATCCTTTGAACCCCGAGCTGAACATAAGTACACCCCCTCATAGCCACAGAAAATGACTTTTCTTGTACTGGAAAGATTCATTAGCTCCACTTTTTAAAATCTGAAAAATCAGATTTTAATCTAGTCTTACCAAGCACACACTTCATGTTCTCAGACTCTGCTACCCTCTCTGCTCATGCTGGAGCAAGTTAGGTCAGAAGGACTCCAAATATAAGTCAACTTTTTTCAAAACAGGAGTGTATTTGTTGCCCTGATGCTGTCCAAAAAAAGAGAAGAATGACAACGCCCGATAGCTCAATGCAATACTTCGTTGACATATTTGATATTTGGGTTAAAATAGTTATGTGTCTTCTTTACTAAGATACATAGACACCTCATACTAAAAGAAATATTTGCATTAGAAAGAAAACATGAAAAGATCTCCAACAATTGGACTCCTTTCTTTTCTTGTTTCTAAAAATGTTTTACAGGCCAGTCAATCAATTCCCAAATCATAGCAGGGAACAAAACAGGAGTTTCAGAACCACTATTCAAATCAACAATTCCTATATCCTTACTATAAGTACAAAGTAATCCATTACTTCTCTATAGCAGTACCAGACTACTTAACTTCCTATGCTGGCCAGTAAAAACTACAAAGCTCCTCTTTGTTTTCCCTCATTTGTCTTTTAGGCAGGGAATATTGGCCTTATAGTGTCTGTTCATCCCTTTATGTCACTTCCTATGGAAGATATAACTTGTAAAAGGAAATAAAATGTGCTTTTCACCCAATAGGTGCACAAGGCAAAAAAATCCAGATCTAGCCCTACATATGCTATATATTACAAAGCTGTTATGCTTGCTCAAAGTGCGCTTTTTTTTTTTTAACACCATATGGTACTATTTATCTTTGTGGGTACAAATAAAAATAAAGACTTCTTGAAACCACATTTGATTTATTCCTGACCACTGTAAAATAGTAATAGAATACACTGTCAAACCACTAGCATGGAATCTGAATAATGCGTATTCTGCATTCTGACTTCTCCCTCTCTCCTCCCACCCACCCATATTAAAGAATTTAAGACAAGAAAGAGAGTCGTGTTGAAGGCATGTTGCAGCTAGCTCCCCAAATTACATTGTCCTAAAATGAACAATAAATAGAAAGCCTCGAAACACTGACAGAGGCTTCAGTTTAAGATGACAGGCCAGAGGATGACAAAAGCTAGGAGCATCCTAGAAGAAAAAAGTATAGTGTTCCAAAAAGCCAAAGAAGTGACTTATTCTTTTGACACAAGCTGCTGCAATATGTAGCCAATTAACAGTAGGAATAACAGTTACTAGCTGCTGCTAGCCAAAAGAATGGGGGGTGGGTGGGGGGGGGTAAGGGGACAAGAGAAATAAGTTCCTATTGCACTAGAAAACATACTTAAAGTAAGGTGTTGACTCTTGAAGCATTTAAAAATCAGAAAGTGTTTTCAGAATTGGACCATAAACCAATCACAAGGTTCATACCATAAAGTCATATCATGTCATAAACCATAAGGTTCTTCATCAAGAAAGCAAATTACTCACGAATCCACAATATTTTAAAGCTCTGTAGCTGAATACTCATGCTATCCCAAAGTGCTTAGATCACTTCAAATGGGCACATGGGAAATTTGTGATGCTCAATTTATGGTTAGTTACTAATGTAGCAACACTTTGCATTAATGAAACTCCTGATGTGCATTAATTACTATACTGGCTTGTAACACATTTTTGTGTCTATTATTTTGTTACTGTGTAGAATAAAAATAATCATGAATAACTTGCATGAGTAGGGAAATGCAAGCCACAGCTCATTTGAATTTAGAATAAACAGACTATATTAAGAAACCATGTAGTTTCTCACCAGTGTCTCTTGTGCATGAGAAGATGCCATTAAAAAAAAATACATCAGCACATCTGAGTTCCTAGAAATGAACTTACCTTGGAGTCCCTAGAAATCGCTGTGATCTCAGTTGTTCAGCCACATACAAAGAAGCCGCTGTTGCCAGTAGTTCCCTTCTCTCAAGATCTGTCAACTTGTGTCCTAGTTTCCAAAAAGCAGTTTAAAAAAAATATTAGATACCACAGACCAACACATTGCTTACACAGACACAAACAGTAACAACCACCAGTGAAGACACTGTTTAGTCCTTATAGACAAAATCTACATTTTTCACCTAAATTATGATGAGGCTTAACATAGCAGACGCTCTGAGTTTCAGGGTTTAAATTGCATGTTTTCATACAGATCAGCCCTAAAGTTAACACTAGTATCTCTGTTAAAAAAAAAAAAATTTGACAAGCAAAAGAAAAAAAAATAAAATGATGCCACAGCATCTTGTTTTCATTACCGAAATGTCACTGGTTGACATATTGTGCCTCATGCTGGTAAGGAATCCATCTGTACATTAGAACTTATTCAAAATATACAGCATTCTTTCTCAGTACTTTGCCTTGCAAAGGCTACAGATCGTCCAAGTAAAAGAGATAATACAACAGCATAAACCATAGAAATATATGGGAATAAAACCACTTGCCAGCCCCAGGTCATTTAGTGTCATTTGTGACTAATGAGTCCAAGTCATACTTGGCACTTTCTAAGCAGAAAAACAGCATGAACACCATGCTTAAAGTATCTGAAAACTTGAAGACAGGCAAACTAACAAAGGTTTGGCCAAAAATGCACAAAGTATGTTGACTGGAGGTAGGTTTTTTCCTAGCCTGGTCATGTTTCAGATGGTTAAAGTCAATTAGAAATTCAGTAGTCTATTCAGCAGACTAAAAGAGGGGACAGTGACAGAACTTTGCTCTCCCCTACTTTAGGTCAGAAACTCAATAACAGACAAAGATTTGTTATAAGAAGCTAGCAAAGAGGTGGACAAGACTGGTGTCACCAGAGAAGTAGAAGACAAGAAGCAAAAGGGCAAGTAAGTCAGACAATCCATAAAGCAGCGATAGGAAGTTAAAGCTGATGTAGAAAAGGACAAGAAATGCAAAGATGAATTGTCCTCAAGAAAAAAAAAGAGGCAAAGGAGAGACATTTTGCACCCATGAAAGCAGAGGAAGTGGAATATATCATGGGTGTTTCAAAAGCTAGAAAGGAGGATATAGTGTAACAATTTAAGTAAAAAAAGATGAAGATCAGAATGAAAGACTTAGCTGAACTTAGTTACAAACACAAACACACTCAAAGCGCTTTATGCAGCTGCTGTCTGCGTCAGTAGACCTTCATGTTCACATTTCACAACAAAAGCCATCTATGGCAGGTAGAGACTTCACATAAAGGGAAGAGAGAAGAAGCGGAGAAGGCTCAGAAAGCTGTACTTCCTTGAGCAGCTCGAGGCACGTTTGCTTCCAGTCATGCAGTAAAATACTGTCACTCGGTTCTCCTCTATATCTCCGCTCTCCCACAGCCTCAGCACTGCTGCATGCAATGGTAACTCACATTCCCTGGTGCTGAGCATTAATGAGTAACAACTTCCTCAGTAGCATAAAGTAAGACTAATACAATCCTCAGGAACACCCAGAACGGAGACCTCTGAAAATGATCAGAGTACGCTTTACTGTAATCGTGCAAAAGCGCAATTTCAAAATAGGATACCTTCTGCACAGGTTCCTATTTGAGAAATGCATTTAGAACTGTGTTCTAATCATTTGACCAGGCACATCAAATAAGGATAGATAAATATATCACTCCACATCTCAGTAACACAATCAAGCTACGATGATGGAAACACCCTCATCACAGTTCCAACTAACAGTACAAAGGAGTTGTCATAGGACAAAAAATGTAAATTTAATGATAACAAAAGCCAACAAATCTGCATCAATTTATTTTTAATTTAGCCCACATTAACATATGCTGGCTAAAAATTACTGCAGCTTCCTTTGTTCAATGTTTATTATTTCTTTATCTGCCTTGAAATGGAAACTGTCTTCACTTTAACACACATATGCAAAAATATAACTTCTGAAAGGCTGAAGAACTAGCTTAAAAACAAACTTGATCTTTCTTTTACTAGTTACTAGAAAAACTAATTGCAAAGTGAAAGTCAAGAACTCTAACCTTCTATACCGTTTAGCTACACATGAGCACTGTATAATTATATAACACAATGAGCATTAACTCTCTGGCTCTGAAGTGTGCCAGGTTTCCAGTTGTTTACATTCAATTAAGTAGTTCTGGGATCTTTCTTCCACAAGATAGTATCTAAAATTGATAATTTGTTTACATGCCTCAGCTCAAGAGCTCAGCTAAAGGTAAATCAGGAAAGGCATCCCAAAACCTTTGCTTTTCAATCACCCTAAAAGCCATGACAAGTCTGTGTGACCAAAACTGCATGTTTGCAGGTGGGAACTTGCTCCCACAAGCATGGGTAGTGTGAACTCATATTCAAGGAAAAATTACAGAGATCCCAATTTGAAGGTTTTATTGCATGATCTTCATCCTGGATGAAATCAATAACTGCTTTTGCACTTGCTGTGCTGCAAAAACTATTTTATCCCTCTATCTTCAATAAAAATTAAACTCCAAACAGTGAACAAAGGTCAATAATTTGAAACAGGTTAACAACCAAAAGTTACATTCACCTCTTTATTATCAAAGACATAAAAAAATGTTTATCTGCTTTCTATTTGTTGCTATTTGCATTAGCTGCAGCTAAGATTTGGCAAACAGAAAAGCAGTCATTACTGTGGTGTCCAATGTAAGCAATTTGTATTTATTTTCCTAAGTCTAGGAGGTAGTATAAAGTGTTAATAAGAGCACATAAAATTAGCTTTTGGTCTTAAGCTCTTTGGCAATAAACATGCAATCATACCACTGAATGTCTTTAGCGTAATTTTGGAGACATACTTCAGAAGCTTGATTAAAGGCTTCCAAAAGTTGGCAGTTTACATTTACCATACAAGAAAGACTGCTGTCAATATTGTCTTAGTTTTTTGAAGTCCACTCCCGCTCCCCTTGCCTTCTGCTCTTGCTCTTCTCCTATGCTCAGTAGGCTTTTAAACAGTTTTAAAATTTCAATTACATTACTATATTGGGACCTACACAAATGCCTCAGATAAATGTTATCTTTGTTTCACATCAAGTATTTTACTTTAAAATCCATCCCTTGGGATTTCAACTGGAAGTCTTGAGGTATATGGTCACTGTAATAACAACACAGCCTTTGGTTTTCACCATGCAGAAGAAAGCTCTGAAAACCAATGAAGTTACCTCTGAGGCATTTTTCCAGGCGTTGTCTTGATAGGAAGTGAAATGAGTAAGCAGCAAACGCTCCCCAGCTTCCAAAGTGGGAAGTTCCATCACTGCCCTTTTCCTGCCCTCATTGTTGCATATTGCAGACTCCCAGACTGCATGGAGATTCATTTCATCTACACCACAAAATGTAAATCAGCTCCCAAATATCTTTACCAAAACTGGGATATACCTCTGCATCCTCAGTATCATCACTGAGCTGAATTATATCATGTGAACATAATACTGGATTAATGGCTATAAAATAAGTCACAGTAAAAGTAGTGGAAGCACTGTTGCTCACATTATTTAAGACTAGACTGTACACATCTATGATAACTAAATAGCAGAACCCTGAATTGAAAGGAAGACAAGGAGAAGTACTTCTTTCTCATTTCCCCGATGTTATGATTGCTTAAATCAATATTATCCCAGTATCCCCCAAGCTGAGTCAAAAAGGTTCATGCAATTACTTTACATAAACAACTTCAAATTAAATTACATAAAAGGTCATTTTTCCCATAACAATCTCATTTGCATTTTGTCCTAGTAATGTGTTCCCAACTATCAATTACAGAAAAAAAAAAAAAAAGTCTTGGTTATGTGGCCAGGCCTGTTACTTAATACTTGAAAAGTGACTGTTTTCTGATTGGGAAGAACAAAAACTAAAAGCAAAATGAGTAAGACAGAAAGTACAATACCATCCAGGCTCATACCAATGCATGAAACGTTTACATCATATGTAGGTTCTGTTTTGGAATTAGTTTTTCCCCCAATGGATTCTGAAGTAGGCTGTCGCAAGCAGCATGGATACCAAGTAAGCTGAGGCTGAAAAAGTTGGGTGTTATTCGAGGTTTTAATTCCTCTTTAAGTCTAGCTGAGCTCTGCTTCATCCAAACAGCCATGGTAAAATACAGACAATATTTGTCTGCATGTGCAATCACACGCTGTTCAGAATACAGGAGAAGAGAAGTATCTCTCTGTTAAAGCTGGTGACCATTTGTAAGATGGATGCTATGAAGCTTAAAGGGATCACTGACAGACCAAGAAATGTTTCTTTTTTTCCCAGGGGAAAAAGGAAATTTAACTAAGCTGTCTGTTAAGACAGGTTTTATGGCCCAGTAGCTTCATAAAATGGAGATAAAGCATAGGTTCTAGTGTGGGGAAGATGAATGGAATTCAGTTAACAGCAACCATCCTCTCCCTTCCAACATTAACACAGCCAGAGGCAGCAACATTCCCCCATCCCACTAATAACAAAAATCTCCAGACTTAAGTCATTTCCAAAGTCTCAGTTCACCTAAAAAACACTTTAGTTCATAACATAATCACAGAATCACTCACATTAGAAAGGACCTGGGGAGGTCTCTCATCCCACCCCCGCCCCCGCTCAAAGCATTCTCAACACTGAATTTAGACCAGGTTGCACAGAGCTTTGTCCACTTCAGTCTTGAAAACCTACAAGGATGGGGGCTCAACAACCTCTCTGGGCAACCTGTCCCACTGCATAATTATCCTCAGAGTGATTCCCCTACACCTTATACCCATTTCAAACCTCTCCTGTTTCAACTTACGATTACTGTCTCTTGTTCTTCTGCTGTGCACCTCACTAAAGAGCCTTGCTTCCTCTTCTTGGTAACCTCCTCAGAAGTATTGGGAGGCTGCTGCTAGGTCAGCCCTCAAAGGTAGCGTGCTCCGGCTCCATCCCCCAACCAACCTTGTGACTGGACTCACTGGAGTTCATAAGACATCTTTTTTGTATGGGGGAGGGGGACAAAGCTGGATGAAGTATCCAGAGGTGGTCTAGCAAGTGCTGAGTAAAGCAGAGTAATCACTTCCCCTAATCTATAAAACTATCACAGGCACAATGTATCTACAAGCCTTCACTTCATACACACTCCCTGGAGACAATATACAATTACAGGAAAGAGACAAGCTTCCTCTTTCTCCCTTTCTATATTAGAAATCAGTTAAAATTATGGATTGTCCATGAGAAGTTTTGCTCTTCCTCTCTGCCAAATGAGATAAACTTGCTAGAAGAGGGGAAAGTAAAGGATGCCCTTTCCTTTGCTCCCTGCATTTTGGTACGGCCTTTGCAATAATCTCTTGGAAAATGCCCCATTTCCCATTTGCACGGGATGTCTCTCCCAGTGAGACTGACCAAGCATTTGAGATATCATTCAATATCCAGGAAGTGTGGCCATTACGAAACCACCTCAATATTAAAGCAGATATCCAGGAAATGACGGATGAACTGTGAAAAAGATTGAGCCAAAAAGAATAAGCCATGAGGGTAACAGCATAAAGATCCATGAATTTAATTTTGTTCTTTGTCAAAGATTCCTCTTATATCTTTGTGAAAATAGGGTTATTTCCTAGGTCTATAAAATAGGGATAATAGTATATTCCTTTCTCACAAGAGAAGTTAGGAGGTACAGAGGAATTTCATGCTGCTTGAAAGCTGTACAAGGACAGCTTGTCTGACAATACTCTACTTAGTAGTATGGGATATTCCTGTATGCTTGGCAACCATTTTTATTCTCTGAGTAAAGTGCTTTGCAGCCACTCTAAGTCATGCATTTCCGTCATCTGACTTAATGTTGCTAGACTCAAGCTCAGATCTACACTTTTCTCATAATACACACGGGTGCTCAGAGTACTAACCCTCTCTAGCTGGCCTACTGGCCAGTATTCTAGTCAGCATTCTAGCTGCCCTTCCCTGGTACAGCCTACACAAGGTTACAAGAGCAGCTGTTTTCCCACTCGGAGTGTGCCCTAAGAAGGTCAGTTTCATAACACAGGAACATTTTAAAATCAAATGAAAAAAAAACCAAAATGCTTGTGTTAATGAATGCTTATTTAAATAAAGGGAGGAAAAAGAGTTAAACCTTAATCATGAAAATTACCAGGCATTCCAGCACAAGATGTAATTTGAAGTGGCATCACAGGTTAATAGAAAAGCTGCCAAGATATTTCTTATAATTAATTTTTTCTTACCTTCAACTTATAATGGAAGCCTTGAAAACAAGATTGAAAAAAAAAACCTCTTATTTACTTATTTTACTTTTAAGTAAGACAAAAGTTAATAGTTGTATCTGAAGAAAAATGTACTTATGGAGTGGGCCAGTACTTTATGCAGCCAACAGAAATAATGTAACTGACATCCATCATTTACCATCAGCATAGGGCAACAGTGGCAATCATGTAATTTAGAAATGAAACACAGGGAGGGGACTGTGCTCCAGCATTACTATATAGTACCTTCATTGAAATCTTTGTACTTCCTAAGTTTTCCAAGTTTAAAACATTTCTGGTATGGATTTCTACTATGAACAACAGCAGGTACTTCTAGGCATTTCCAAATCTACTTTGGCTACACATTGCTCTAATTTTCCAGATTACTCCAGATCTTTTTATAAAACTACACTTCTTTTACAGTCAATTATGATATATGACGGTACTTAATTTTCAAAACCTCTTTGCAAAAGTTACCCTGAATATTTATACAAAAAGTTAGTGAAATGAGTATGGGGCTTACAGTGCATATGTTAGTTTGCTTTATTTCTCTTGCTGAACTTTCATTTACCCATCATCCACCCACCACTCTTGTCTTCGGTAGCTGCCATTGGAGAGTGTTCGGACCTGCAGAAGTATTTTTCAATAGGCATTTAACCAACCAGCCTCTGACTCAAATCACTCAATTTTTCAAGTCAGAGGAGTCTGATCCAAATTTAACTGCATCCTTAAAAAGGCTCTCAATTACCTCAGTGAGCTTTGAATCATCGTTCTTGAATAAGCAACCTTGACTTGAAAGATAAATGCTTTATAGTAATGATATCTGCATTTCATTTACCACTAAGAAGATTAATTTATACCTGCATTTGATGCGTAGAAGGAAGGTTGTGAGACCTTTTATATTGCTGGAACCAAATTCAATCTTTTCACCTGTGTCATTCATTAGTTCCTACTGTGAACTATTACAATATCTCTTTTGATGTCTAAAATAAAAGCCTCCTATCTTTGCAAATCTGTTAATATATTTTTTTACCTCAGATGGCAACACTAATCAGCCTTTTGCATCAGTGCAGGGTATGTAGACACAAACATGTACATATACTGTTCAAGTCATATGAACCCAAAACAAACTTCTTGTCATCCTGCAATTTGTGGGCCAACAAGTACTCAACTAATATGTATAATTTAACATTGCAATATATGAAAACAAAAATAAAAGAACAAGAGATAAAAGCACCTTCCTAGAGCCAAAAATAAAGAGCAAGGGGTCTTCTCCTGGGTCAGCAGAACCAGTCCCATAATCTTACAAGTGATCAAAGGCCCCAGTAGACTCATTCTCACAAACAAAGCTGGAATGGCTTACGTTGCGACTGTTCTCAGCTGTGTGTCAGGCAAGGCTGCCTTTTCACAACACAGTATAAACCGTTGTAACAGCTTGCATCCTCTCCTTCTTCCTCTATTCCCTTCTACCCGTTCCTAGCCTGTTACCCACTTTGCATGTCTGAAGTTTGTCAGATTCCTTCATGGGCTAAGTCAACCCAGTAACTCTCAGAAAACTACCTCAACAAAAGCAGCAACGACGAAAACGCAATTTTCTGTGGGTTAGGCAACTGAATCCACTCAGGAAAGGGAGCAAAGTGCCAGAACTGGCAAAGAGAGGGGTCATGGGACTCCTGCTGATCACCACCAGTGAGCCTTCAGAGCAAATTCATGAAATCACAGCTAGAAAGAGGTGCTGTAACAAACTCTGCAAGTACTCCTAAGTCTACACTGGAGGAAAGCCAGCTGAGTTACCTGAATATGAGTTACTTGCTTAATAAAGGAAGGACCAAGATTGGTTTGAGCTTCAACCTCCCCAAGACTCCTGCCATCCAAGGTGACTAATTCCTATTGCTTTGCTCTCAGTCAGAAGTCAATATCAAGTTGGATGAATTAATCTCATGTGTAGGACTGTAACAAATAGAGCCATCAGTTACAGGATAATATAAAATACTTTTGTGGGTAAATATTCTTTGCACCAAACTAACACACTGAATTCTGAGGTAAGAAAAACCTGTTCTGCTCCTTAATGAGATTAGAGTTTGACAAGGTGCCAGTCATGTCCAGTGACTGCCAAAGTGACACTGTCATCCCCAAATTGGGATTAGGATTCTGCCACTTGGGTTAATAAGGAATGGGGGAGAAAGATGTCAATGGGACCCATAAAAGTCACAGGAAAGAGATGAGCAATAAAAACTAACATTCTTCGCATAGAAGAGAGCTCTGCCTCTAAATAAGAGGCAGACTTCTGCCTCAGCTGAATGCCATCTGAGGTGCGAAGCAAGCAGGGGGACTGAGTCCTTGACCACACAGGTCAAGAAAGTATCTACAGCAGATTGACTGAGAGAAAAAATAACCTTTAAAAATCTGATCCTTGTGAGAGGAAACCACTTTATTCATTTGCTTACATTTCTCTGCCAGCCTTTGTTATACGTTCTGGGGACTGAGCTGTTTGCTTGGAATGTTGCAAATAAATATTTTCATTTTTGTATGTTAACCTAGTTTAGGAATTTATAATTTCAAGGTAATACTTATTACTGCCCATTACTCTATGTAGTGAGTATTAAGACCAGGTTACAGGAATACTATGACAAAATGCCCAGATCTTGCAAACAACGATACAGTGAATGCAAAGGGTGCTAAAAAGGTGCTTCCAAAAACTCTGCACAGACCCACTGAAGAAGCAATAATGTGGGGTAAAGCAAATTATACCTTCTGTTGACAGTAGGAGCACTGTCTGCAAAGAAGAAAGGTAGAGCTGAACTGATGCTTACCTTAAGTATTTCATATCACCTGCAAATTATTTTTCTTGCCTGTGATCACACTTCATTTAACATTTGTCACTAGAAACATGCATTTGCCTTGTTGAAAGTAAAGGAAAAAAACTTTCAATTTTATTATCTGTTATTAAAAAAACTAAGCGTGCGTTTACACACAGACATTCGAAATAAACTGAAAGACTGATTAGAGAACAAGTCAGTCTATAAATAAAGGAATAACAATCAGAAACAACACCTTCCAAGGAGAAAGAAACATTCTCAAGAGGAACAAACCTTTAAAACCATCAGGATAGACTTCAGGAAGAAATTTAGTGCTGATATCTCCTCGGACAAAGCGTGGATGGATAATCACTTCTCGCAGTAAAGAAATATTGTGAGTCACACCTAAAGACAAAACAGCGAGATAAAATTTGGAAAACATATTAACGAATGCTACAGTAGGAAGTAACTTTTTAAAATAGAAAATCTCACCTTCACAGACTAAATACTTGTCCACAACTTACAGACCGTAATACTGATATAATCAATACAGATTTAGCAGTTCTGCTCCACTCTTGCCTCCAGAAACTTTGAAACACTCAGTTTAATGAAGTAGTAAGCCTTTAAAATATTCGCCTCATCAAGCCCAATTCAAAAACCTAGTAATTCAGCGACAACAAATACAGCCAGAGGCTTTTGGTTCACTTCAAGCAGATGTAGGCAAGACCAGAGCTATCTCAGTGAAGTGACATATGAGTCACGATTGCACTAACTTGCCCAATTCCAATGAACCCTGGCCCATCTTGTTATCCTGACACCTTAGACACACACTGCTGTGGAAGATACAAGCCATGTTATACCTCAATCACAGTAATGAAAGACAGTAAGAAGTTTTATCATTTATATATGATTTGTAAGTCCTAAGAGACTCCTGTGGACTTTAAAAAACAAAGAAACCTCTTCTTTGTGCTGTGTGCACCCTTACCCAAGCTTGCCTGATGAATTGTTTAATCGAATGCTCCATTCCCCCTTTAGCCCTACTACGTGACCCTGCTGGGCATACAGCTTAAAAAAAAAACTAAAACAAAAAAAAAACCTCACCAAAATAAAACAAAAAACTTTCTTTAATCAAAAAAATGATTCCTGGTACAGCCCTTGTAGCCATTTTATCATTTAATTCCCTTGAATATTATATTATCCATTTTTTTCCTTTAAATTTTTTTTATCTCCTTTCATTCCACTTCTCATCTCCTCTCTTTTTTCATATTTAATTTTTTCCTCTCTCTTCTTTTCTCCTGCTTTCTGTGCCAACAAAGAAAGAAAATTTTTAACAAAGCTTTCTGAAAAGATGTAACAGATTATCACATTTAGGTAAACTAAACTAACCTTCCTCACCCTCTATCCTTCTTTCTAAAACTGGTCCTGAAAGCTACACAGCTCCAAGGGTGCTGTCACTGTTAGCGTGCTACTTCCACACAAAACATTGTGCAGTAAATTCTCAGATCTTCTCTACAGACGGGTAATAGATTAATTTGCTTTCTCAAAGAGGAAAGGAATAAACCGAATTCCATTTCCAGTGTAAGTGGGACAAAATAATCAGAAATAGATGTCCATATGAGAGATGTACTAAGGACAGTTAACACTGGTAAAGACTGCCTGGGGAGAGATTGTGGAGTCAATAAAAGTGTTTAAAAACAGGTTAGAGAAGCATCTGTTGGAATGCAGATGTAGTTGATCTACCTTAGTTCAGGCAGTGGGACTAGATGACTTTGAGATCCTTCCAGTTTCATTTTTCTTTGCATGGGAGCAGCGTAACTAGGTTAACAACTTTATGCTAAACTTCACTTTTCCAAACGTACTTACAGTTTAACACTGAGTACAACAGTCACTATAAGTAATTTCATTGAAATATTAAATACAAAAAGTTATTTTCAGGAGGTAGGAGAGGAAAGGAACAAAAGAACTCTGAGACAAAAAATCCCCAGAACATTATCTTCTGCTCACTGAAGTACAAAAGTTTTCAAAGAGAAGATATTTCCTCTTCAGAGAATAGCACACAGGTCATCTCTGGAAAGGGTAGTTTAGGATTATGGGGGTAAGAAAAAAATATCTTTATCTTAACTCTCCACTCGATTTTGGAAAGAGACTGTAACAGAAAATTTGAAGAGCCACCACAGTAGCTAAAAATGATTAGAGCATAACACTGCATCATAAACATTAACATTTCCTAAGAGAAGTTGAAATGGATATGCAATCCAAGAGCAATCCAACTGAAGCTGCTGCGTCCATTCCAGGTATGGTTAAATGAGTAAGCTGTGATAGGAAACAGGTTATCCCATCCTCAACTGGGCAGTGTGCATATTCTTAACCTTTCAGGAAATACAAAGTAATTCAAAATCTTTCCTCTCTGCATCAGAAGATAGGCATCTCTAAATTACCTTACATTTGCTAGGTGCACATGAACTTTGGTGTTAGATGCACACTACAAAGTAAAAAATGCAGAACACATCACAGCCTAGCTTACCTTGAAACAAATTGTGCACCTATATCTCCTGTAAGGCACAAGATCCTGAACTTCAGCTTTATAAATTTTCACTTACAAGTTACTACGATTAACATAGTGATGACGACGACTGTGGAAATTATATGCTCATTTTTCTAATAGATCTAGTTTAAAATAACAGGAATAGCAACTCACTGTAAACTCAAGTCTCTGAACTGCAAATTGAACTATTTAGGTATTTTTCTACAGACACAGATATATCACCAAAGCAAAAACATTAGTGGTACGGTGACCATGAATTGCTGAGCTTAGAGAAGCAGATTATTTTGCGCTCCCTACCTCTTCTCCCTTTGTGTTTCTCCAGTTTAGAGGCATGAATAACATTCTTGTTATTTTATGCACAGATCAGTTCAAACAGTTTTAAAGCTTTTTTCCCCCTACAGTCTGCTGCTGGTGTGAATTTTCAAGCTCTCTGTGTGGCCGTTACTGAAACCACTTTCAACACATGGAATCAGACTCAGCCTCACTGAAATATATGAAGTCATAGCTTTAAAGACTAGTTCATGAACCATTAAGTAGCACGCTACACAACCAGTTCAACGATGACAGGATGAAATTTTGACCATTTGATTAAAAGAAGATCAGCCTCCTTGCTGCTTGTGACCTAGACAGTCATTCATGGACCTTGACTTCACAAACACAGAATGAAACCCATATTCTATCTCCACTAAAAATTATTTTTAAAAATACGCCAAATGAATATAACTTGGAGACAAATAAAGTCTTTATTTGGCTGCTACAAGATGGAACTATCAAAACATCAAAGTACTAACCCACTCTCCCAAATTTTCCCATTCAAAGAGTAAGTTGAAATATCATAGAGATTTTCATCTTTTAAGTACAGCTTCAGGACTGTAATTAGAAGACAAAAGAGAAGCTCTTCAATGATCTCTGACTTTGACTGAATGAGGGATTTAAGCACACTACAATGTGAAACCAGATCATCTCATGTTTTTCTTTCCTAAACCGCTATAAGATCCCTGGTGAGATGATGGCTGATGACAGATGACAGAGCGCTTGGTGTCTCAACCGATTGCCCCAAAAGACCTGATATCAAAAAATGCTATGAGTATCTTAATTCTTTCCAAACTACGTGCATCAGAAATATCACAGTTCTATAATGTTTTCAACTCTAAAACTCCTTTTATAAGTTCAATAGAGCAGAGACGCTTAGGTGTTCAGAAAGCAATGTAACAAATGTGTTCTATATATGTAAGTAAAAATTTTAATATGCAACAGTTTCCCTTTAAAGTACCATGAAAGACTAATTTTATCTTTCCCCATGATTATTATTTGAGCAGTGACTGCATGGTTGGTCTGCTTCTCAAAACTGAGTTGATAACTTTAGTGATGTTCCTAATGACACGCTCAGAAAATAATAATCACGTACCAGCATAATCCTTCAGAAGTCTAGAAGTTTTAGATTTGCAATTTAGCGTGACCTCTGTCAGAGTTCATAAGGTCTCCATCTGTGTGTGAGTAACTGCTAGGCTACAGAAATGTGGACCCCTAGAGCAGCTTGCTCCTGACTACCTGCTGCTTCCAAAACACTGGCCAGACATTAGCCCCACACTCTCACAGGATCAAACAGAGGCTAACAGGCAGTGCTTATTTCATGCAAAGTTAGACACTAAACCGAAGTATATTATATTTATGTTGCAGTGTTTTTCAGTGGGTTTTTTTTTTTCTTTCTCTTGACTGGGTCTGCAGTCTGCCAAGAACAAAATCACGTTTGTTATCTGGAAAAGTGAAGAGATTTCCAACAAACAAACAAAATCCTAAACCATATACATTTATTTCCCCCCTAGGAAACAAAATTTCAGTATAATTCTTCTACATTATGACTGCTGTAGAAATGCAGTTGCGGTTCGATTCTTCTTTTCTCTAAGCCAAAATGTAATAAAAAGCAATAATCAATGGTCCTCGTATCTCTTCAGATTTTTCTTTCATTCCACTGTATTCTTCATACAATATTGCATCAGCTGTCTTAATTTATTGCAGATATTTCAATTTTGACACACTATTTCCCAGACTATATTTGTAAAGGAGATGAGACAGACATTTAACTTCTGGAGATGTAATAAAAGTATATGTTTATATATTTTATATGTAACATGTAATCCTGAGGTTCAATTAATTTTGTAATGAAATTGAAGCTATTGCCTAATGAACATCTGAGCACACTAAATAATTACATCATTTAACAGAGCTGATTAGTAATCACTGTTTTGAAGAAGCCCTCATTAAAAAAAATTATAATCAGAAGAAATGAGTTCACATACTGCCCACCTGTCTCTGCTGTGTCTTGCCACATTCCAAATATTCTGCATTACACCTACCTCAAAATGTTGCTAAATATACCTCATTTTTTGTTAACTACAAACAGTAACCTAACTCCTATCCCGTCTTCCTATAATGCACCAGGATGAAAAAGACAATAAAATCAATTTCAGACAAAAGTTTTATACCAGATTTATGAACAGGATCTCATGCCACATTTTTATTTGAAAAAAGTCAGAATAAACTTGGAATGCTAAGGCATGAAACCATAGGCAATGTTTTCACTATAAATATTTACTGACACTAAACATATTCAGTGTTGATTAGCCTTTTTACAGCACTAAGCTTCTGTCATCTTGACATTTGCAAATACAAATCTGCATTTATGCATGTAAACTTAATTGGAGTCCTACATGCCTCTCTGTAGATAAACAATTGAAAAAACTTAACTAGTTGGGAATTTTAAATTGTGCTAAGTGGAAGAGAAATAACTTTATTTGCATACTTACTGATTGCTAAAGTGTAATGTGCACAGTATAGTTTTAGAATTTTTTTTTTAAGA